TTATAGCCAAAGGCCGGGAACTTTCGCGCATTGTGGCGACCTTTTTGTCGCGCGACCCGTCGTCGCGGGTTTTTTCGCGGTTTACGCGCGCCGTCCCTTTACGCCGCGCTGTGCTTGCGTGCTCTGGGACGCCGCGGCCGCGATCATCCACCGACGCCTGCGTGGACCAGGTGGACGCCGCCGTGGACGCCGGGGACGCCGCGCCGGGTGGACGCCGGTGGACCACAGGAGCGCGAGGTAAGTTTTTCGCGCCTACTTCCGGTCCTCTGCCTTCGCCTGTTTTGGTCGGGTTCCCACGTTCCCGATCCAAAATAGGAGTTGGCAGTTGCCGTTGGTTTTGGCGCGAAATTTGAACTTGCGCCTTGTGTCCTTCGCCGGTCGCCCGCCCGCGCGTCACCGCGTCACCCCGGCCGTCGACTTCGTGGCGCGCGTCTGCCAGCGACCTGATGGCGAGGTCAGTGTTCCGGTCGGCCGTGGAGGCAGTGCGCGGCCAGCCGGTGCTGCGGGACGAGGAGCTGGTGCTGCCATACCCGCTGCCCGCGCACGCGCGGTGCCCCATCGCCGGCTGCCGAACGCAGTACAGCGGCACGGGGTCCGTGCAGCAGCGGGCCAGCCTGTGCCGCCACCTCGCCCGCAGCCACGACCTGCGCCCCCGCCGCACCACGCGGGTGTGTGTGGGGTGCCGCGCCTGCCTGCCGCGGCGGCCGTCGACGCACCACTGCTGGGCGGCGCCCCCGGAGGAGATGCGGCCCGACCTGCCGCATTGCTGTGCCGGCTGCGGCCGCTCATTCACCACCAACGTCGGGCTCCGCAATCACCGGGCCCGATGCCGGGGCGACGGCGGCCGTAGCCGTGCGGGGGACGGCTCCGGGGGCCGCCGCCTGGAAGACGCCGAAGACGTCGACGCGCCGCACCGGCCCTCCGCGGCGGATTTCGTGACGCCCCGCCATGCTCCGCGCGCCCGCCGCCGGCGGCTGGCGTCGTCGTCGCCGGACTCGCCGGCGGCGGGGTCGCCTGGCGGGGCGTCCGCACTGCCCACGCCACCGGTGATGCCGGACGAGTCGCCGGCGGCGGCGGGCCTTGCTGACGACGTCAGCCTTGTCTCGGAGGTCCCCGACGGCCAGCTATCTCGCGGCGCCTCGCCATCCCCATCGCCGCTGACCCAAAGGTCGCCGTGCGCCCGCCTCTCGCCGGCCGTGTCGGAGCCGGCGTGGAACCTCGAACTGCCTCCGCTGACGCCGCCACCACCGCCCGGCCTCCTGCGTTTTGACAGGCCGTGGGAGGACACGCCGCTGGCGGCGCTCGACCCTGCACCAGCGCCGAGGTCCTCGCCATCGTCCGCGCGCAGCGCCTCGGTGTCGCCGGCGCCCGCCACCCTGCCGGCCCTGCTCTCGCCAGCTCTGGTCGGTGCGGTGGCTCGCGGTGGAGTGCTGGCCTCGATGGCCGGAGCAGTGCGTCGCCCGCCGGTAGCCGTGTCCGGAGCGAGTGGGGTCGCGGTGCCGAGCACCGCTGGTGGCAGCGTGCCGCCTGCTCGCGCCGCGTTGCGGTGTGCCGTACCGCGCATAGTGCCGCCCGCGCCGTCGTCGGTAGTGTGTGCGCGGCCGACAACCGCACGGCGGAGCCCTGAGCTCGTGGCCGTGTCACCGGTGCCGACGCCCGCGCCGCGGAGCCCGGGGGCTGCGGCGGTGTACCCCCCGCCGGCCGCGACCGTGAGCCGCCTGCCGACACCTTCGCCTCGGAGCCCCGGGCTCCCGCCACCGGTCATCACACGTGGACCGCCGGCGCCGATGCCCGCATTGCGGAGCCCCGGGACTGTGGCGGCGTCGCCCGCGCCGGACACGACGGTGAGCCAGCGGCCGACACCATCGCCGCGGAGCTCCGGGCTCCCGATGCCCACTGTGAGTGCAGACTGTTCGGCGCCGGCGCCCGCCCGCCGTGTGCGCTCCTACGCCGAGGCGCTACGTAGCGCCCCGGCGGGGGGCGCGCTGTGGCCGGACGGTTCTCCGGTGCGGCATGGTGTTCGCCCACATGATGTGCGTTGTCCGTCCCCGGTGACTCGCAACCCTTGCCCGGTGGCTGCGGCTGACGCGCCTTCGTTTGCAGCGGGGGCGCCCTCCCAGAGCCAGGGGCGCCGCGGCCGGGCGTGTCCCGCCCGCCGCCGGGTGGGTGGAGGCGCGCGGCGAGAGCAAGGCGCTCCGCAACGCCCTGCGGATGCGGGCCTTGAGCGACCTGGTCGCCAAGCCCCATCAGGGACGCGTGATGGAGTGTGTGGCGTCTCAGCCGGTGAGCTCGCATTATATGTATAATGGGAGCTTCACCCGGTTTGCCGAGTGGCGGTTTGTGCACCGTGCTCGGCTCGGTCTCGTGCCCCTGAACGGGTACCGTCGCGGCGCCGGTGATCGGCGCTGTCAGCGCTGTGGCTATGCCAAGGAGACCCTGCCGCACGTGCTCAACCACTGCCGGCCCCACAGCGCGGCACTGCAGCGGCGCCACAACGCCATCCTGGCGCGCCTGGAGAAGGCCGTGCCTCGGTTTGCAAGGCACCGACGCGCGGGTGAACCGCCGTGTGCCCGGAACCGAGTCGGTCCTTCGGCCTGACCTGGTGGTCACCCGTGGCGCCCACGTATCTCTTGTGGACGTCACAGTCTCGTCTGAGAACCGGCTGGCTGCCCTGCGCGCCGCCGGCGACGAGAAGGTGGCCAAGTACGCGGGCCTGGTGGCCGAGCTCCGACGCCAGGGCAAGCATGCCTCCGTGCATGCCCTGGTGATTGGCTCGCTCGGCACCTGGTACCGCGACAAAGAGGAGACGCTGACGCCACTTGCGCGTCAGCCGGGTGTACGCCCAAGGCCGTACTTGGCCTTGGGCGCAGCCGCAACCCCGCCGGCGATATTTGGCGGCGTCCCGAGGCGGCGCAGTCTTGTTTCTCGCCGCGGCCGTTCTGTCCGGCGGCGGTGAAGCCCACACTGTGGCCGCCGCCATGCCTCCTCAGTGCTCTTTGGCATGGTGCCACGCGTCGGGGTGACGCAGTTGCCGGCCAATGACGTGCCCCCCACCCCTTCCCACCATGGGGTGGGCGCCCACCCCATATGCGGCACGCTGTGTCGTGCCGCGGGGAACGTGATTATATACTTGTACATTAGAAATCATCGTGTCGCGTGTGAATGCGCTCCAGGTTCTGGAGCGCATGCGTTTTTCTTTTTCACATAACCCTTGCTATCAAACATGCATTATGAAAATAAAAAAATCTGTTCTCATCGGCTTAAAATCTGAAACGTCCCCTACATGGGGACCAGAATATTAAACTGATTTAAACTGATTTCCCAGACGCATTTCTGCACGGACTTCGTCCATTTTATTGAATGGTTATAATTTGGGCTTGACATAAGGAAGAAAGGCTTTTAGCTTTCGGTTTTTCGGTATTATGGGTTGACAATTTTGATGTTGCGTTAACGACCTTATGTTTACAAGGATGTCCTGATTAACCAGCGTTGCGGTACTTAAGAATGATTATATTCGCAGCACTCAGAATTTCGAGTTGCACACATGCTGAAGAGCTTATCTCTTGGGGGGTGAGAAAAGAACAGCAGTTGGAATTTAGTTTCTTCGCAATGTTTGTCCATAGACGTCTCATAGCTACCGCAATGTGATAGAAAAATTTGTCATCTCGTTTTGGTTTGTAGACTGCTCACGGACTATCATTTGCTGGCAAAAAGCAGCCACTACTTGATCACAGCACCCCCTTGTCTTAGCGTACATCGCACGAGCCCACAAATTGTGCCGCTTTGAGGCTATTCCAGGATGCTGTGTGAAGGGAAAAATTTTGAATAGTTGGCTCCTCCCGAAAGTACCAGCCACTGGAGCTACAGAAGATGCTTCATTGAATGGTATGATGGCAATGATCCAGGACGGTCTAAATTTGATTGCCTCATTCTTCTGCTTGCAATCGAACAAAGCTGTGCAGACAGGGGTGGATCCCGAAGGGGGTGCACGCCATTCACATCCCCGGGCCATTCATAATTTTTTGGTGTCATAAATGGGCACCAAAATATAATGGTAAAGCTATGCCAAACCCTTCATTTCAGGACACCATGACCTTCATTTTCAAGGAAAACTTCTTCACCTTACGCCCTGATGAAATTCCTCATCGACTCGTTCTTCGCCGCTTGGCAAGTGGCACTAAAACTGCAGTTCGGAGTTTCATGACCTTTACTTTCCAAATAGGTCCAGTTTCAAGGGGCACAATAAGGGCCTCACAAACTGTCCCAAAATATTTACTTGCACAATGAATGATTCAAGGGCGCCACCAGCGGTGACAGCGAGGCATGTAGGCAACCTTAGGCTTTTATGTCCCGATGGTTCTGGGGGGGGGGGGGGGTCTTTGGGCCCCCAGATGCCGACGATGAAGGGTCCGATCGGAAGTCTGAAGGGCAGCAGGAGTGAGGAACACAGGAAAGGACCCGTCAGAAGGCCGGACCTTCCAGTCAGTTGAAGCACCCTTTGCACCGATAGCGGCCTCTAGGACAGTGAGGGTCTCCGTGTCAAGTCAGCTGGCGGATACCACCAATGCTGTGCAGTCGTTTTCATGTGGGTCTGAGTTCTGCAGCCCCCTTCCCAAGAGGGGCCAGGGCCGGGGGCTGCAAATCTTAATTAGAAACCTCTTGCATTGTTCGAGCCCCTAAAACAGTGAAGGGTCCCTGTGCTGATTAGGGGCTCGCAGACCAGTGTCTTACAGGGGACGTCGTGTCTGCAGCGGCCCCAAGTCGGCCAGGGTACATTGGCTGAACAGGGACAAGAGCGGGACCCAGATTGTCAAAAGACCTCCGACGTTGTTCAGGGCCCTCTTGATAGGAAAAGAAGACATGAGAAAAGGAAGACGCAGGTGTTCGCACTCACATTGAGACAGTCGCCTGTGTCAGTCCGAGGTCCCAGTGCCGAATGAGGGGTCCTCTGCACCGTCTCAACCAGGGATCCATAAGCCGAATTGGTGCCTCCATGCCAATTACTGAACTCCCTGCGCCGGTAAGGGATCATTTGGGTCAGTCACGGCCCGTGCGTCGATCCTGTGCCAGATCCCCCGGTCAAAGGACCTCCGCATCAGGAATGAGGCCGGTGCATGCTGTGTGCCTCTGAGGACCTCAGCTAGCAGCTAAATGTGACAGCTCAGTTTTGGATGATTTCGACAGGGGCTGTAACTGGTTTCCCAGCTGTCTTTCCACCAACAGATCCCTTTATTACACGTGGTGCCCCTCTCTCCCAGGACCCGCTGCACCCCTGACCACAGTTCAGGTCAGCGCAGCCAATGGGAAGGGTTCGTCACTCCCTTTGACCACGTTTATCGTATTGCTCTAGGCTCTCCAAAGAAAGTTCAGAACAAATATATGCATAACATTAGATGATGTTTACCGTAAGATCCATCACCATTAGGCAGATTCTGGCATTAGCCAAGTGGAAATTAAACCAAAAGTGGCACATGCCCATTAATAACATCCCGTGCATATATCTCCACCATGTGCAGGTTCTGTCCTTGAACGCCGATATTTCAAAATGTTGATCTTAGTCCCTCGGCAGCCAGCCCGTTCACCGTCGCTGACGGGAAAACGCTGAGTGCGGCCGGTGTCGTGGCGACCGGCAGTTCTCACCTGGTCGTATTTGTTGTTGCCGGCGGGCGCCATGTGGCCACGGCTCCAGCCGCTGCGCTTAAAGTCGGCGTCCATGACCGAGAACAGCGCCGCCGTCTCCGGGTCCGGCTGGAACCGGCTGCGGCGCCTGTTCGCCGCGCCCTGGTGGACGCCGCGCGAGGCTGTGATGCCACGGAGTGGCACCAGGTGGCGGCCTGATCAGCATCGTAGGCACAATGTTGCGGGAGCGCGCCGCGAACGACAGGCACTGCGCAAACAACTACACAGATGCAAATCCGTTAGGTCTGTTTCATGAAAGGTATTCACTTCCTGAGGATCCCTGTAAAACAGTTTGTACATGTTTCTTGATCAGCAGCCCAGCACCACTGAGTGCTGCAACAGCTGGCTGCTGACATCCTTCTCACAGGCGAACCCCGGCCGGGTCATTATATTCAGAGTTCAACGGCCGTCGGGCCGACTTTGTGCGGCACCCACCTTGATGGTGTGCCGCGGTCGATGTGCTCGATCACCCAGACGGGCACCTTGCGGCCGGCATCGTAGCCCACCACGTGGTTGGTGAAGCGGGCTACAGGCCGAGCCGCGCGCGGTTCGCCATACTGCAGGATCTTGGACCAGCGCTGGCTGGAGTCCGGCGCCGCCGCTGCTGGCCGCCGGTCAGGGGCATCAGATGGGTCACCAGAGCCACCACCTGATGATGTCCACCGACTGCCTGATGGTGTGCATGCTGGCTATCACATGACAGGCTTGGTACACTGGTATTTGGCATCCTTAGATAAACATGGCATCCATGGATTTCACTGCATAGAGTTGACAAGAGGGGTGTCCATGTTAAGCGCATACTGAAATATGTCAAATGCCATCACACACCTATCACACCAATGAAAGGGATTCATACTCGGGCAAAACTTACACTTTCCTGAAATATCACTAAAATTCCACAAATGGCAGTCTACCCTTCTGACCAAAGCCTCACCACTCCCACACAGCCCCAGGGAAGAGAGGGCACTGCCCTCTAGCCCTGCAGCCAAGTCTGTCTGGCACTCACCTGAGCTGTCACCCAGCTCTTGTTCACTCTGTTCACTTGGCTTGGACTGTTCAGTGTGGAGTGAGGGTGTCAGTGCCCAGTAGCAGAGTCCACCACCTAGAGAGCCCACCACCAGACCGGAAAGGAAGTTGCGGGCGCCCAGCCGGCGTGTCTGGCTCAGCAGCATGATCCCAGGCTGGTGCGCTGGCATTGAAGTGCATGGCTATCTGAGAAAAGACAAATTAAGAAACATGTACAACAATAATTAGTTATACTTGTCTAATGATGTGTGACATCTTGAGTACTACATCTTGGTTGAATGTTAAGATTGGCTTGTCAAGAAGCATCAATAGTGTGTTACTAGATATGGGGATCTCCTAATGCCCAGATAGGTTTTTTCTTATCATACATGGCCTGACTCCGAACAGAAACTTTAAAATTGGTGTGGTGCTGCTCACTGAGCCTAGCTCACAGCTGTCATGATGCCTGGGTGTCCTGGCTTCAAGCCAACGAAGCATTATGCCATGACATAGGTAAACATGTGTGTCACGGTATTCACATGACCTTATGGTTCTTATCTTTAGATGCTCCTCAGGCAGCCAAACTCACAAGATAACATCCCATACGGCAGGTAAATTAATTTAACTGTGCAGTGGGTACAGATAGGCTCTTGTACACCTCCACAGGAAGTCTAGTGGAGCACTGGTGAACATGCCATATGTATGTGATCAGGGAGATCAAAAAGTAGAAGACAATACAGGCCAAGAACTGCACAGTTATCACTAATCAAAAAACACCAATCAAATACCACATTGTTGTAGGGCCCTATAGAACCATCAAAGCAGGGCATATCATCAAATGAACATTTTAAGGAATTGACGACTAAAAACAAATCATTATGACAAAATTTGAATATGATCAATAACAAATCAAAGTAAACATCCTGGTACAAACCACATTCCACAGACAATCACACTGCATTGCATCCCATCTTATCGATTATTAGGATTTTCCAAGCATAATCTTAATTTATATATTGCATAATGGTCTATGAAAAACAATATTCTATAATAATTAGAATTGTGTGCATTTCTGGGCTTAGCCCTTGCACTATACAGAGTTGTTGCATTAATATAAAAATGTATATAATGCAGTACTCCACAGCATACACATCATAAATGCCTGTATTTTTGAATTTTAAAAAATCCCAGGGTCAACATCCCAAATCCAATGCTAAGATATTTTGGTAAGACGCTACCCCCGTTCCCTGCCTCTGATGGAGGGAAGGGTACGCTGGCCGTAAGGTGGGGGCACTGTCGTGCCACGTTAAGGATGTGAGACATCAGCCGATAATGTGACGTCACTGGGTTCTTGGGCCGACTAGCGGTCGTTAGGCATCACCTGATGGTGTAACGTCACTGGTATTCTGCTGAGTGTGTGACGTCACTGGTTGTGAATTTTCAGGGTTCTTCTGGGCCGAGTGAATGCTGTAAGGCATAGGCGTAGGAACGCTTCAGAAAGTGTGTGTGCGGGGGGGGGGCCAAGCTCAGGGTGTACTTCAGGAACTTTTTCTGGAAAGCGAGCCCGATGACCGGCGGGGGGGGGGGGGCTAGGAATGGAGGTTGTTATCGCTTTCTATCCAAATGTCATGGCTGCTATGCTAGATATGCATCTAAAGCACTTGATCAATGGTGCACAATCTTGCCTATGCGACTAACCTGCCATTTGGCAAATAAGGCTATTCAGCTTCCCTTGATTATTCGTCCATTTTAACATTGCCTTTCCTGGGGAGGCGAAATTCCACGAGCGGGAAGGCATTTCGGGTCATTAAGGAAGTGTATGCCTGCACAGTGTAGATGCCAAAATACGGTCTGGATATAGGCTGGTGAGAATTTTGAAAGTGGATTGATGGTTCACAGTGCGACAGATTTTTTCATGCGCCTTCATTTCGCTGGCTGCTTTTCAAGAGATAAGACTTGTCGCAGCATTTTAAGCGCAAACAAATTCGGGATCTTGAAACTGCTAGAAACAAGGTGACAAAAGCCATCAAACTGGAGATTCTCTTCTCAGAATCAAGTCACATAATAACGCCCACCCGTCATATGTTCCTTATCCAGGCCCTGCTCCTGGCCACCGACAGTGGCCACTGCCCTGGTCCGGATGTCTCCCGCATGACTGACTGCGAACTGGTCGTATTGCTGCTTTGTTACATACTCCTGCATACGAGACCAGCGTTACTACTACATGGCGTATGAAACTCGTGTTGGACACCTGCAGCAATATCTTTTTCCGAACTATCTTCCCTCACACCACACCATCGCAGAAAAACAGCCTCCGGAAAGCTGTCTGCCTTAGGAATGGTTAAGCCCAAAGAACACTTCATTGCCCATCATGCAACGCATACGACTTAATTTGCTTTTGTGTGTAGGCAGGAACGTAGCCAGAGCCTTGCCAAGGGGGAACACAAGGTTGACAAAAGCCCATCTTATCATGACACCTCCCCTCCCCCCAAATCCCCGGATATAGCTTACTTGTTAACAAGTGACAGTTTTCTTCGGGATGCGTTCATATTGTCCAAGGTACACAACGCCCAAAGGTACAGAATGTCCAAAGTACAGAATGTTCAATGTACAGTGTCCAGAGTTCATAATGTCCAAGGTACAGAATGTCCAAAACGAGAAATAACTTCCAAAACAGCTCGGTGTGGAGGTGTTCATTTTGTCCAAGGTACAGGTTGTCCAAGGTACACGATGTCCAAAGAACACAATGTCCAATGTACAGAATGTCCAAAGTTCTTAATGTCCAACGTACAGAATGTCCAAAGTACGTATTGTCCAAGGTACGGAACGTCCAAAGCACACAATGTCCAAGGTACACGATGTCCAAAGTACAAAACGTCCAAAGTACGTAATGTCCAAGGTACACAATATCCAAGGTACACAATGTCAGTATTCTTCAAGTACTTCACCATTTTTAGAAGAAGAAAAATCTCCACCGCGAGCGTTTTACGCGCAGTGCGGCACGGGCTCAACCAGCTCACGTTAGCAGGATTGCCCGACTTTGAAATCATACAATCCAAACAACATCTTTAGCACCAAAAATAATGAGCAGCCAATTCACATTATTCACTACGTCGTTTCGACCACTGCTACTCACAATGCTCGCATGATTGCCTATCATCTTCAAGAAAAAACCATCTGATAATATAATAATTTCGGCCACAAACAGGTCATATGATTTTTAACACGCAGACAGCCGACGATTTATAGCATGTACTAAAAGGGCAACATAAGCACCAAATTACGTACATTCGAGCAGTCAAGAAACGTATCCCAGTTCTTCACATTCGTGTCTCGAATTGATATTTCCAAACAGACAGCACAGAGAAAAAAACCCAACAATGGCGGCGGAACTGATGCACTTCCAGCAGTCTTAAAAAACGGACCAAGCCACGGGAACCAAACACCGAAGCCAAGCCAACGTTTTCGGTACGGTACATTGACGTCTATTAGCGCAGTGCATCTCATACACGAGTCCAGATAATGTGATTCACCCTTATTAGGACCAAACACATCGTGACGACATTGTCGCTTAAACTACAACACTTGGGTTCAATTAATATGACTACTCCGTTGCCGTGACATGCTGCCATCATGTCGTGCAGAGGGACTGTCGTAGTACCCTCTTAAAGTAGTGCACCTCTCGTACAATTCCAACGAGCAAGGCTTGAAATCGCTCTGACATCCAGAGACATACTCTGCCGAGATAATATGTCAGCAGCCACCCTGAGGAAACGGATCAAGCCTCGGGAAACGAAGACTGAAGCAAGGCCAGCGTTTTCGGTACGGTACATATACGTCTGTTAGCGTAGCGCACCTCACACACGAGTCCGGATAATGCGATTCACACCCTTAGAACTGAACACGTCGTGCTGACAATGTCGATGGAACTGCAAGACTTCGGTCCGATGAATAAGACTCATGCGTTGCCGTGAGATGCTGCAATCATGTCGTGCAGAGGGACTGTCGTAGCACCCTCTTAAAGTAGTGCACCTCTTGCACAATTCCAACGAGCAAGGCTTGAAATCGTTCTGACATCCAGAGACATACTCTGCCGAGATATTATGCCAACAGCCACCCTAAGGATAACGGATCAAGCCCCGGGAAACGAAGACTGAAGCAAGGCCAGCGGTTCGGTACGGTACATATACGTCTATAAGCGTAGTGCACCTTACCCACGAGTCCGGATCATGCGATTCACACTTATCAGGACCAAACGCATCTTGCTGACGATGTCGGTGGATATGCCAGACCACGGTCCGATGAGTAAGACTCATGCATTGCCGTCAGATGTTTCCATCATTGGCGGACGGACTGCAGTAGCACCCTCTTCAAGTAGTACACCTCTGGTATAATTCCAATTGGCGGGACCTAAAAACCGCTCTGACATCCAAAGACATACTCTACCGAGATAATATGCCAATAAAAATCCTAAGGATACGGACCAAGCCTTGGAACCGAAGACTGAAGCTAGGCCAGCGTTTTCGGTACGGCACATATGCGTCTATTAGCGCAGTGCACCTCATGCACGAGTCCGGATCAGGCGATTCACACTTATGGAAAATAAACACATCGTGCTGACAATGACGGTGGAACTGCGAGACTTCGGTCCGATGAATAAGACTGATGCATTTCCGTGAGATGCTGCCATCATGTGCGGACAGGCTGTAGTAGCACCCTCTTAAAGTAGTACACCTCTTGTATATTTCCGATTGGCGAGACCTAAAAACCACTCTGATAGGCAAAGACACACCCCGCCGAGATAACATCCCGACACGAACCCTGAGGAACGAAGCCAAGCCCCGGGAACCGAGGACCGAAGCAAAGGCAACGGTTTAGGTACGGTACATATACGTTTAGTCGTGCGGGGCACCTGAAACAAGAGCCCTTATAACGCGATTCACACTAAGTAGAAATAAACACATTGTGCCGACATTGCCGGTTGAGCTGTAATACTTTGATTCAATGAATAAGACTCATGCACTGTCGTGGGATGTCACCATCATGTGCGGACAGACTGTAGTAGCACCTTCTTAAAGTAGTGCGCCTCTTGCATGATTCCAGTTGGCGAGACCTAGAAACCGCTTTGTCATCCAAAGACACACTGTACCGAAATAATGTGTCAACA